GGTAGTGAAGTGCAGACTTTAAAATAAAAATAACTGCATTCTTTGCTTACTAGATTAAGGCTACTTTTTTTCCTAAAGTTTGAATCCCCTGATAAGTCTGCAAAAATAGGCATTTAAAAATCAAATTCTTGGAAGTTTGCACATTTTTGGAATGCATGGAAAAGAAACGGAAGAAAGAATCGATGAAGACTGCTCACAATAAGTATTTAAATAAACTTTAAAGTATATTACTTACCTTCTGGGCCACAAAATTGCCCGTTTTCCAAGACATTTAATGATCTAGTTCTTAACATCTAATAGTACAGCTAGAAAGAAGACACTATTCTGCAATTATTCTAGAGGTTAATAAAAACACGTGAACAGATCTTAATAATTCTAGTATGATTTTGGCAGTTCAGTAAAGCTCTAAATCTGTAATTTGGAAAGCTTACACACCGTCTTCAGATGTTTCCAAATCAAAGTACTGATATTACTTCAGTTTGAATGGCTTTCTTCCTCTTAAATCTGGTTTTGGCTATCTTGCTTCAGGCTGTCTGTTACAACAGCATGTTATATTTGACCTACCAGCAACAGAGAGATAATATCATCTGTTTATATGTAAACACAAACTATATGAACAATACAATCCAAAAGTCAATGCTTCCCCTTTAACTTCCGCAAAAAAAGGGCAGAAAGCCATCCAATTTGTTAAAAGGGCATTCTTAAAATTTAGACACTAATCCCCATTCTTTAAAGAGTCACAAAAGACTCAAGCCAGCACTGCGATAATCCACGGAGAAGGCTGTAACAGGTCAGGAAATTAAGAGCTACAGCTGGTTTATGATCAGCCTCTGCAGTGCCCTTGGGTATCTATGGTTATATACCATAATTCTTACTAGCCACTAAATAGGGGTTTTTTCCCTTTGTTAGTGTGCAGGACCTGGAGTTTGTAGAAGGTAACATAAGAGTCCAGACTATTGTTCCTCTTATGTTCTGTCAAAATTCAGCATTACCTCCCTTTAGACTCTCAACTCAGGCTGCCCTCAGCCTGAGTCAATGGATTCTAAGTCATTTAATAAGGCTTCAGTGACCTTTTCTCACTTGTGTTGGCAACCATTTATTTCTTCCAATTTTTTTAAAACACATCTAGGGGCATTCTTCCTGTACTCTCAAATTACTGATCACTGCGGGAACACAGACAGCAACTGCTCACAACCACGCTGCCTGCAACCCACTCAACCTGAAAAAAAAAATAAGCGAGGCAGTAGGTGTTGCAAGCAGTGGAAAAGCCTGGCAAGTGCAGGCTCTGGCAGGAAAAGTCCCTGTATTGGCAGCTCATTAGCAAACATCGCTAATCGATAGCCTCTACGTCCTTGCTCCCTACTCACCTCAAAAGGCCAGGACCCAAACCATTTAAAGATTAAAAGCAGCACCTCAGCTTCCCTATGGGATTTCAGGACATGCAAGTGCAGCACATTAAAAGCCAAGATCGAGCACCCTCAGTCCCACAAGCACTGCAGCACCAGGCGTTAATTCCAGCTTCTGACTGTGGTCTGTGTGGTCCCAACGCTGAGCCTCACAACTGCACAACAGTACAACAGCCCTGAGGGAGGGCACACCTTCCCAAAACTGCCCTGCACTAGGGCATGGCTACATCTCTCAGCCAGCTAGAAAACTACATCCTTGAGATCACGGCAACTGAAACAAAAGACAACAAACTGATCAGTATAAGCTACTTCTCCACTGATACTGGTGAGAATGCTGGTGAGACAGCCTTAAGAAGACGCTTTGCAGTGACAAAGCACTGCACTCTGTCAGTGATAACGTGATAGAACAGCCCCACAGACCGGGAGATGTGGCGGATGCAACCTCAACGAGACCAGAAAGACACTGAAGTGCTTTGGCAGTTGTACATTTGCTACCATGCCTGTGACTAGAAAGAAATGTGACATAAAAGCCAGGGCTGGAGAAAGAACAGGATTACTGGAAGCCAGAAGATACAAATTTCAAATCCGCTGATGAATCTGACAGATCTTGGACAGAGGAATTTTGTTTTAAAGTCACAACCACAGGGGACAGTCAAAATTCTCACAAATAGAAAACTATACAATGTACACAATAATACTGTAGTAAGAGAACAGATGTCATATGGCTTTTTTATTTCATATCCAGGGAAATCCTTGCAGTAACAGGGAAAAGGAAAGCATATCCCTAAACACGAGAGGGAAAGAAAAGGCAAGACTTTATCAGTATGCATATTTTAAGTGTAAAAGGAGGAAGAGGAGGAGAAGGTAGAAGAAACTTCTGTTAGAGGGGCTGCAGAGCCAGCAGGTCTATCTGCTGTACAACCCACCCGGAGTGGCTTCTGAGGTCTGAAGCCCCCGGGCCAGGTGCCAGGCATGTCTGCCCCACGTACCAGTGCCAGTGCCAGACAGAGCACGGATCAGAGCTTCTCACTTTTAACCATTAATATGTCAAAGTTGAATCTGGAAAGAAGCCAGACATTTGAAATCTTCAATTATAATATGCCTTAAAAGCTTTTTTCCAAACATGGGCAACAACTTTGGGAGAGCTAGACAGAAATGCAAGTAATTATGAAATAAGGTCACTAGTAGCTGTCAGGAAGATTTTAAGATGGCTCCCACCACAAGAATTTCCCAGGCAAGCAAGCTCTCTGGAAGAGGCAGTTCATAAGAGTTCATCCAAGGATGACCCATTTTCTGATCACAGCAGCAAACGAACACAGAAGTTTAAAAGGAAAATAAATAAATAAAGGCTACGGTCCCCTGTGCAAGAGACTGAAAGCTGAGAAAGAGAAGGTGCATTCAACAGAAACAGAAAAATCTATGTAAACTCATGTCTGTGTGTGGCTGACAAGTTTGAGCCAACATAAAGCAAAACAAACAAACTAAAAACCAACCCAAATGCTCTAGAAAACCTGAAGGAAATCAGAGCAAGCACACAGCAGGCAAGTGCTGATCAGAATTAGTGCTCCTGTGCCAAACTCATTCAGCCTGCATGCTCGGTGCGAGCGCTTGCAGTTCTGCAGACTTGGGCCGCTGAGATATTGAAGAGGCCTTAAACTCTCCGTTTTACAGCGACATTCACTTTGTGTGTCATGATTTCTAAAGCTCAGCTAAGGTGCTCTGGATTTACTACTTATGTAACTTGTATTTGCCATTTGTGCAACGTTAGCAGCTAGTAGTGGTTTCCAGTATGCTTATTATCCACCAAACCAGAGGAGTAAGAGGTAGACAAATAAGCTGCAAAAAAAACCCGAGGGTTGCCATAGTTTCAATTATTTTCCAAAACAAAGCACTCTCACTAAGCAGATTCCAATATATTAAAAGCCCAGAGCCCTAATCTCTTAAAAGCAGGTTGCACAGAGGCAAAATAAAGACTGCAGCATGAGGGAGGGGTTTCGTATTTGACGATAGAGGAAATTAGAAATTATCAAACAACAAACTGTCCTCTTAATACACACAAACATTACAACTTCTCTCCTCTAGCATTTGGTTCTTTATCCTAAAACAAAAAGCTGACTTTGTGCTAGGCCAACACTAAAATTCATTTAACTGCTAGATGCCGTAATTGTACTGTCATGGCTGAAGAACTGTCTGATCCTGGACTAACAGGATTTTGTGACCTCTTATATGAGCTTACTTAAAGAGCTCAAGCAGATGGGGTACCCAGATTTGAAGGCCTACAACCACCTATAATAGGGGAACCCACAGAAGATACT